TGGCAAAAATTTATTTTGTTGAATTGTAACACCTTTAAAGTAGCTGTCCTGCTCTTTATGCAATCCCAGTCTGACTGGTGCTTATGAACTGGGATCAACAGTGCAGAAAGATGTTGGTAAGTTACTTCAGAGGTGGATAAACCAAGCCCAGAATGTAAAATGCCTGTACAGATATCAGTTCCAACCATTTGCATTTCCAGCCACAACCCAGGCTGGGAGCTAATAATCTGATTAAGTGAACTGGATGAAAAAAAACTAGGTGGAGTTTCTACTTTCTAGACCCTAATTCTCCACCTCTGGTTACTTTAGATGTGTAATTTTATTTCCTTTTTTCCCATATCAGGATAATCAGACTATCTGGGAAATACATTTCAATTTCCTATGAATGTCCCTATGTGGGCGGATTAATACAAAGTAAGTTTGCTGTCAGAATCATAAATATAGCATTCTGAGATGATGTTCTGGGTAAGATTATGTATTGTGAAAATGTTTTTCTTCTGACTATTGCACCAAGATTTGACACCTCAGAAAGCTGACATAATTTACAGCAGTAACTTTACTGTTTCTCTAAAGTCTCTTCTTCATCTTCTCTGTTTCTACTGTCTCTACACCAGTTTTAGCACCTATGAAGCAGGCAAGAATGTAAATGTATTTAGAAAATGATCATTACAATAATTATTATCAATTTGCAATCTGTAATAACTTCCTTAAGATATGGGTGAAGCTAACACTATAGCTGACGCTGCCTATGGTTTATTCATGTTCAAGTAAAATATGTGGATATGAAGATGTTGGTTTTGAATGTTGAATATTAAATTAAAACATTAAGACAGAATCAGAAGAGCTAAAACTTTATCTTAGAATTTCTAATATGATGGTGGACTGGTTAAAAAAATTAAACCAGACTTGACTGTTATAACCTTAGTAAGAATTAAATTCTTCTGGTCTTGGTTGGATCTTGCCTAAAGTTATGATTTGGAAATTATGCTCTTTCAAAAAAGATTTAGAAAGAGTCAAAGTCAGATCTGAGGTTAATAATGTACTTCAACACGGATTTGTATCTCAGATGTGGCCGTGTTCTTAAACTGCAGGGAAGGAATCAGAGCCGTAGGGTATAGAAAGCAGGTTCAGCAAAAACGTGAGCCAATTAACTCCAGGTATAAACTAGGCACATGTTAGATGAGTAAAATCTTAAGGCTTAAATAGCCCAGGAAAGAAAAAAAAAAACATAAAAAGAATCTCCTTGAAACCCAGTTGGAGATGAATCACAAAAGCTTCTTGTTTTCTTTAACTAAAAAGGCAATTAGGCAAACACATTGTCTTTTAAAAAAATTTAAATTCAGCAGTTCAGGGAACAATGGCTCAGTAAAAATAGAGACAAAAAGGGCTGAACTCGTCACTTACGCTATTCTCTTTTTGACACCACACTCATAACACCTAACAGAGTGTGCTCCACAAACAAATAGTACATGGCACAGACGGCTCAATGAAAGGGAAGGGCAATTACTCTGCTCATAGAGGGATGCGTTTCTTGTTAATAAGAACCACAGATTTCATTCTGTTGGATACAAAACTGTTTTGTCGTTGTCTGCTCTCGTTTTAAAGCACGCAGAGAGCCTCAGATTGAAAAACAAAGGAAGAAGCTTTTGGAATGTCTGGTTGCCCCAGCTAATTAGGAGCTCTGTAGATAGACCCACGCTCCACCGAGTAGAAGACAAGAACACACAACCCCATACTTGTTCATCCATGCACACACTTCCACAACAAGCCTTCCTATATTGTTTACAAATCCCCCTGAGATTAAACTTCGCAGCAGAACAATATCTGATTGCTATGAAGACAAACATGGGTCCTTGGGGTCTGATTGCTACAACATGGGCTCTTCCTGTCGAGACGTGAGAAATACTTGAACATTCAGCTCATGTCTCTGGTCTTGAGCTGACCACAAACTCTGCTGCCTAGCAGTTCAGGGAGAGGAGTCTGCATGTCTCCATGGTCCGCAGATTCTGATAATGATGCATGCAGCCAGGACCGGCGTGCAAACATCTCAGGAAGTCAGCTGTTTGTGAAATTACTCAAATCCTCATGCCTGGTTTTCTAAAGGAATGATATGACAGCATTTGATTGGGGAGATTAATAAGCAGGATCCTTGAGTGATAAGAGTTCAGGCATTAAAGCAACTCAAAACATTTTTCTTCCTGCAATTTGTGATATTAATTAAATATAAGTAATCCATTAAAACCTTTTAGCAACTCATAAATCACCCTATAGTCTGCTCCAGCTGGATTATTGCATTAGTAATCCTCAGCAGAGAACAGCTTGAAACCACACAGAAGTATTAGTTGAAGTGATTATTTTTTTATGAATTAATTAAAATTGATTTTAATTTTAAGCCATTACCTTCTAGCATTTAAAGGTATTTCATGGCTCTGTGTGACTCCGACAACTACAAATAAAGTCGAGTCTGAGTACACAGAGTTCTCCTGTGTGTAAAAACAGCAGTACCTCCTGTTCTGTGTCTGATGGCACAGCGTTATGTGCTGTTGTTGAGCATGTGCTTTGTTCTGAGAAACTTAATAAAATGGAGGAAATATCATTTATTTCATATAGATTTCTTGCACTGTGATTGAATCAGGACTTTTCTCGCTTTGATTTTTGCTGGATTAAAAACTATAGGAGCACACAAGCTGCATGATTAAATTGTTCGCTATTATAAAAATGTTATATAAAAAGACTGTTTATGCTTATCATATTAAGGTGCATAAAAACATATCCAAGCTTTAAGTTTGTTTTTTGTCATTGAAATTTTTTAAGGGAGTCTTTTTTCAGATTGTTAATCTGTTCATTTTGCACATAATGTAGATGTATGAAAACTTTTATCTCTTTAGGACAGTTTTTTCAGTTTCATCATGTCTTAATTTGTGTTGACCATTGCTGACTGTCTAAGACTCTTTTTAAAGAAGTATTACAGTAGTTCAGTGTGAGTTTGGGAGTTGGGAGTCCTCTCTGCTTTGTTTTGGTTGTCGCTCTTCAAAGTTTCTCTACATAAGGTTTTAATTTAATTCCAAATATAAATAACATCCATGTGCTCAAGCATAAAACTGCATTGTATTTTTTCAAAATATATGGTTATGAAACCGACAGGTCTGTATTCAGTTTTTTGGTATAAAGTTGTATATCATGCAGACTGACAGTGATTAATTTAATCTCAATATATGATTATGTTATAAAAATCGGTTTATTTTTCTGTAACTCTACTTCTCCTTAGAGAGCACAGTTAAAAAAAAAATGCACCAAAAAAGTGAGATTTTTATGGTTTTAATAAATAAAATTAAAGTTTGACCTTTTTTATTATGTGGCTGAAAAATCGAAGAGAAAAATAGAACATTGGTTCTGTTTTGATATATAATATAAAAGCAAAATCTCTGTGCTTCTGAGGTATTTGAAATTACCATTTTTGTTTTCTATGATCCATCTTTTTTTTTATTCCCAGAGGCGCATTTGTTCTGCACTTCTTTTCTCTAACAAGAATTAACTATACTAATAGAGCTTATTTTGGAATAGGGAATATACTACACTGTTTGCCAGTCCAATGACAAAGAGCTTGCAACTATTGTAAATAGAAAACAACATCATGAGCATAATGCACATTCCTAAATACACATTAAAGACTAGTTTAGAATTAAATTAAAAGTTTAAGTTAATTATTATACAAGGTGACACATAGGTTTCCTGTGAGACCAAAGAGCAGATATAACAGCTGCTTCTCCAACAGCGCAGAGTAACAAGGAACTTTTTCCCTTTTGTCCCTTTCCTGCCATTACCCTGACTATACAGTCACATAGCTGGCATGTTTGCAGTTTATTTGAATACTGTTATGGAATCTGGAGATGTCTGTAGGCCACATGTGATTACATATTCTCATGGTTGTTAGCTGTAAAAATAGAAACATATATGCTCCTTAATGAAAACAGTTTAAATATTTAATATACCCTCCTGTCTCTTGGTAGGGGAATAGAATTTCTCCCTTCTCAGACAATTCATTATGTCAGTGTCAGTTTTTCAGACCCACTCCTCATGTCAGTCCTGTTTCTCATACTTCTGATGTCTGAAAGTCAGTTTAGTCTTACCATGTTTTTACCTGCTTACATCCAGGTCATAATCTACAGGTAATATAAATGTTTTGTGATTTTACTTTGCATTCATTTATGAGGAAGGTCTTCATTGCATCTTTGGAGTTAATATTAAATCTTTTAACTGAGTTTAAAATGTTCCTGTGTTATTGTTCACAAATGTAAGAAAAGTTCTCTTTACACATTTTGAAAGTATGATAAATTTGTGTTTCTGGGTGCAGAGCACTGACGGTTTTAATAACATACATTTCACACATTTTTCTAAAAGAGAAATTCTGTGTACACAAGAAACAACACCTACTAGAGTCTTAAAATATCTTTGTGGTCAAATTGGGTGTCTACTTTTAAATGACAACAAATAGGCCTATCTTTAATTTCTCTGAACCAGAAACATATTTTTTAATTTTTAAAACTAGACAAGCCGAACATTAAATAGAAAAGCGGCCAGAGCTGCAGTGAAATGGTTTGGGTAAAATCATATATATCTGTTAAAGTCCACCTGGTCATGACCAGATGAAAATCCTATTAGGAATCTCTGTCAAGACTTAAGAAGAATCGATTTTATATTTGTTTTATGTGAGTAAGGATTAGTCTATAGAGCCTATAGATGTGCCAAATTGGTACAGTGTGACATAATCCAAAGGACTTGTGGTGAATCAACACAGGACAGATTATAAATGGGTGAATTTAAAAAAAACAACTGACTTTCTAGATTTTTTCTATGAACGATTATTCCTGATTCCTTATTAGTCCAGCTGATGGTCAAGTTGCTTGAAATAAGTTGATCTATGGGTGATGCAACCTTGTTTTGGTGAACTGACCTATGGAAACGGTTGCATTGCCATGCAGAGCTTTTGTCCCTCTTACCTGGTTTGGACCCTTCAGCCACTGAGCCATTATAAACCTGGTTTTGGAACTCGGGTCTGTTGTCATTCATGTCGATCACATAAATGTACAGATCTATTGGATTCTCCACCTGGTTCCCGTTCATGTCCACCGCATGAGCCCGCAGCTGTAAACGTATACAAACAACAAGAAGAAAGGGATTCATTAGCATTTAGAGCAAAGCAGATGTTTCAGTGAATATTCTGAAAGTGGCCCAACCATCTTTTCTTCCTTGACTGATGCTAGACTCTGTAGACTCTGGACTGGAACAAATTCAATACTAAATGCAACCTTGACTTTGTTAATTGGCATCTACATTCAGCTGGCAAACATCCAACTTCATGGCCGCCACTGGGGCACAAGGATGCAGTTGGTAACTTGGCATGGGGAGCATTGACAAAGAGGGGGCATAATAGTGAAGCCTTCCAGACACACAAACAACATTTATTCTGTTGTTTGCACAGCCTGAAGCCTAAAAAAACATCAGAGAGGTGTTGCTGCTCAAGCTGCGTCTTCTTTTTGTTCAGGGAGAATGTTTGTCTCAGTTTGTTTTGACAAATCCAGCCATTTGGATGGATGTCTCCGTCTGATGAGCCGCTTCTTCAAAATACATTGTGTGAGAACAGAGATAAAAAGAGGTTGAGAATGAACAGAAAAGTAAAGGAAACAAGCAAAAGAAAGGAAAGCAGGAAAAATATGTAAGATGGGAAGAAGGAGAGAGCTGCAGAGGCTCTTGGAAGCAAATGAGGAATGGAAATACAAAGAGTCAGGTGGGGGAGTAGGGTGTAAAACAGGGTGGACTGACAAAAGCTATCATCATCTAGAGTTGGATGTCTTTTTCTACACCACTGCTGCTGCACATTTTAAACTCACCCCCATCCCTACTAACGATTGCCAAGACGACATAGAGCGTAGTAGTAACCCTGAAACCATGCAGCCTCTGTTGCAGGTGATTAACAGGGATGTGTGAAACAGATTTATGCTGCTTCTGCTTCTTTATCATGCTTTAATATTTCAGACCATAAACCGAGCTTGCCTTTATCTGACAAAGTGAAGCCAAATGAGGGGAACGGTAAGACTTAATGTTTATGTATTTGTTTAGTCAGTTGCATGTCGGCCTGCAACTTATTTAAACACTTAAAGTTATCATTAGTTTAAATATTTGTGTAAGAGAGGAACATTTTCTCCATTCTGCTCCCCTTCATTAAGATGATTTAGGTTACATTGTGTTTGTTCTGTTTTCAGTTTTTTTTCAAACAAAAATATTCAGAATTCGGTTTTTGTGATCATAATTTACAAAATTATGATCCAAAATTGTCTAAACTAAACACTGTTTCCATCCTTGTTTACTCCATCAAGAATGATGCATTTGAAAAGGTTGATACAAAAGACAAAAATTTAAAGATTATCCTCAGTTTCGCAAAAGTTTTTTATTTCTGCTTGAGGTGTTTTTTTCATTTTGCAAATATGAGTTCATGCACTAAATGCAAGATTTAAATGCATTTGCAGAAGTTCTGATGTAGCAAACATTGAACGCACATGGCTGATTAACTGTTACCAGTGTTGTCTTGAGCTGCTCAGTGGAGCAGTGGGTAGCATTGCTGCCTTGCAGCAAGAAGGTTCTGGGTTTGATTCCCAGCCCAGGGTCTTTCTGCATGGAGTTTGCATGTTCTCCCTGAGCATATGTGGGTTCTCTCTGGGCACTCTGGCTTCCTCCCACAGTCCAAAAACATGACTGTTAGGTTAATTGTCTAAAGGTCATTGGCTTTATCTCTAAAAGTGGTTGTTTGCCCTGTGATGGACTGGTGGCCTGGGTGTACCCCGCCTCTCGCCCATTGACAGCTGGAGATAGCGACCCCACTTGGGATTAAGTGTTTTAGAAAATGGAATGGATGGACTGTGTCGTCTTCCTGGACATACATTAGAATTTCATTTCTTTGTCTCCATCGTCTGCTCTGAACCTTCCACATCAAAGCCTTTTGTACCATGTCTCTCCTACTCTCTCTACAGTTTAAATTTTGATCACTGCTGCACTTGAGAAATTCACTGTTGAAAAGCTGTATGTATTGACAATAAAGTTTGTCTAAGTCTGCATGAAACTTTGCTAGTACTAGATGACGCCACAGCTTTTTCTTAGATGTGTGGTCCATGCTAGTTTGCAACCTCTACTTCCTGTTGCATGCCTAATTTTGTCCATTTACTTTAAACCAGCAGATACAACTTATTTACGTTTTCCTTTAACCAACATTTTGAAAAATTCAATTAGTTGGAAACATGGCAAGTAGATTGGCAGATTAACCAAAAGTACTTCAACGGTGCACTGATGACTGATCAATTAGGTCACGAAATAATCCAGAACAATATACTTTGCCATCCTATTTTGCCTTATTTACAAACCAAGATTCATGGCAGTTCTGACATTCATAGGATGGTTCAAGAATGAAAACCACAGCTGAAACTTAGCCTTTGTCACATTTTTCCAAAAAACACAGGATGTTCCACAAGTCTTTGGGGAAACTGATCACAAGGGAGTGTAAGAATCTGGGGTTATTTTACATTAAGTGTAAATCTAGCAGTATCTTACACAAAGATTGTTATACTGTTGACTAAGCATAGTGGTTGAATTTGGTTGACCCATAGTGCTTTGCTCAAACAAAGAAACTATGACCTCTACTGGAAAACTGTGAAAATGATTTATGGTTTTAGATTTAACCTGTTAACATCCACCTCATTTTGGGAAATTCTTGCCTTATTTGCATACCCAAATGAAGAAGCAAATAACTTAGGAACTGTAAGCCAAAATTACATGTGTGATACATTATGTCAAAGCTAACACCTTCTAGATTCTGAATATATACATGAACATTGCATCAGTTTAAACATGACTCAAAATAGTTTTTTTTATTCTCGAAAATAGTAGGTTTTATTTGAACAGCAGTAATAAAGACATGCTTGCTTGTTGTGCCTGCTTTCTCATGTTACATTTTGACATGCTGCTATATATTTGTTAATTGTCTCTGGTAATTGAAAAATAACCTTGGTGATTGAATTTTGGAGAATTTAAGTTTTCCAACGATGTCTAACATGTCTATATTGGTTTTACCACTGTAATTTTCATGCATTCTAAGTTATAATTTTTAAACGCATTAAAACGAGTCGCAGGCGACCCGGTGGGTTTTGAGAGGCTAAGAGTATTTAATATATAATAGGTCAAATTCTCAAAGCATACCTGCTCGGAGAGCAATATAAAACCGAGGATTTGGATAAATGCAGTCAAAGTTTGTCATTAAAAGATGTATGGCTTTAACATCGATTTTAACAGGCCATTTATATTCGCTCCGACCAAATCAAAACACCTCTGCAAAAAACTCATTTAAAAGACATACCACTTCTTTTCAACATTTAAGTTGTTGTCACTAAGAGTGACAAAAACAGTTCCTGATTTTAGGTGGCAAATACTTTCCTTCAAGTCTGAAATTTTAAAATATAAAAAGAAAACTCCTTATCAAAAGCACTTTGATTTCTACATTTCGAAGCATGTGATTGTCAATCACAACTTGGCATCGTAAACAGAGGAGGACTCCTGTTGAAGCCAAAGCTGATACACTGGCAGCCAAATATTGTATCGGCACACAGTTGAGGCGGATCCACCTGTCACCATATTTACAGGAAACTGATGAACTGTGGGACAACAAGAAGATTGAACGGTGGCACCTGCTTTTAAAACACTCCTAATCTTGGCCTTTGTGACCGCCTGTCATAGATGTTTGCAAACTCCTACCAAACGCGCGGCCACCTAAGCAGCTCCGCAACACATCCAAAAACCAGTTTAGACACATGTTTATGCATATTTACATGCACACTGATGGGCACAGAAGAAGCATGCCTTGGAAGGCGCAAGCATCTGATCAAAAGAGCTCTCTTTAGCCCCTTAATGATCCTCAAGATGCTAGTTTTCCATTGGCTGAAACACAGCAAACAAGCAGGGAGAGGAGACCCAACAAACAAACAAAGCCAATCTGTTTTCTCAGCTGTGAACACCGCATGCTGAGAATGTGTGGCTTCTTCAGTGCATGCATCTGAACGTGTGATAATGATGTGATTTTGTGTTTGTTTTGTCCATTCTGTTCCTGGGTTAGGATCTCAGTATTTATATTTATCTTTGTTTGTTTTTTTTACCTTTCTTTGAATACTGTCTGTGCTTTAATGAATTTATTTATGTGGATTGTATGATTTGTGAATAAACAAGTAAAGCAATATTATAGTTAGTAAAGAGGAGTATATGTAAGATATGTGTTACAATATTTGCAAATATAAAATAATATACATGAGAGAAACAAAAAGTTTGACCAGACCGTTTTTGTAGAGTGATTTGTTGTGTACAGTAGATGTGGTATTAAACACAGTGACTTTCAAATAACTTTAAATTATATTGTTAGTTTTCTGAGGAAACACGTTGAGTTTTTACTGTTGTCATCATAATGCTATCACCCAACAGTATATATTGTAACTCGCATTAGAAAATGTGTTATAATTACTGATAGGTGAATTAAAATCATTAATTTTACAATGATGTGTTATTGAAATGATCGTTCATTAAATCTAGGGGTTAAAAGCTGAGGGAAAGAGCCAGTATACTTCTTATCATTAACAGTGTAGTACTATATGGCAATTCAGAGGCTTTTTTGCTGTTTTTGTTTTTTGTTACAGTTATTGGGCCTGAATTATCATATTTTCAGCTCTGGAAAATTGCACTGATTTTACCTTTTATCTCCTATCCTGTTCCTCTAACAAAGGGACACATTACCGGTTACATTGAAAAGAACCAACAATCCATCCATTCGAAGCAGAACTTAAGCTTTGAAACAAGGACTGTATAATGGTGGGTTTCCCAAACTGGCATTGTCTTTGGAAGAACTCTGTCTTGCAATGAGCACAGAAACATAGCTGTCCATATTATGTTGGATTTGTAACATTTCAAAGCATTTTTAGTCTTTATTCAATGCATTCTTGGATCCCTGGGAAGGTCTTAAAGATACATGTCATTCACTTAATATGGTTCTCTATGATAAAGAACACCCTTGAACGGACAACATAATTTTTTTTTTATTCTTTCCAACATCAAAA